TGACGAGCCTATACAGTATTGTGTTCATGTATGTGACGTCACTGAAGGCCTAAGGTTGAAATGCACGGCCCGCCACTGAGATACTGTATATAGATACTTAATTAATAGACAGTAGTGCAAGTACTAGAAACCACGGAAATATCACCCCAATGTGCTGCTAGATTAGCAATGACATCGGATGAGTCTAATTGAACACTGCAATATGCCACAGTGCGTATGACATTAGCAATCCTTTGAGCTTGCCATTTTGATCTTCCTGTTATGTTATACTGTGCAGAGGGAGGGGGCAACAATGAGAGGTCTGGGGGTGGGCGTGGGGGTCGACTGGCTGGGATTGAGGAGCACTGATTTGGGAAAAGTTACGCCTGGAAATAAATGTGTAATTTTTGGGGGGGGGCGTCAAAAACAGCACTAGCATCCACTGTGCTTTGCATGCCACTGATGGATGGTATATGTGATATAGTCAATATTTTGGAACTTAAGTATGTAGGATGAATAAAATAACAGCTCTTCAACAAATCATCCATCCATCCATTTTCTGATCTGCTTATCCTCACGAGGGTCGCGGGGCATGCTGGAGCCAATCCCAGCTGTCTTCGGGCATAAGGCGGGGACACCCTGCACTGTTTGCCAGCCAATTGCAGCGCAGCCATCCCTCCCCGGGATCCCGAGGCGTTCCCAAGGCAGCCGGGAGACATCGTCTCTCCAGCGTGTCCTGGGTCATCCTGCCGGTGGGACATTCATACCCCTCCACTACGATAAGGTGAAGGCTCATGGAGGCGGGATTATCATGAGTTGAATAAAAATAAATACATTTTTAAAAAACCCGACCTTGAGGGACTTGGAAATCACAGCCTTTTTCAGTGAAACATGAGTAATCCGCACAATTACTGGTATTGACGCATAATATCAGCCCCTTTTCTCAGCAATGATCAACTGAGCCCAATCCTGTGATGCAGTGTCCTCATCTTACTTACCGCTTAGAGCTATGAGGAGTTTCTTCCATTCATCGTCATCCCCATCAGGTGTCTGGCAGAACAATATATTGTGTCGGTCGGAGACAAAGATGTTGTCTAAGGCCAACTCGGAGACGTGGGTGTCACCCCAAAGATTCTTGCTCTTACATACATCGGAGAGCCACTGACTCCTTTGCTCAACAACCATCCCCCAATTTGCCCCTGAGGACTGAAACATCAACAACAACAAAAACAATTGCCTTTCATTTCAGGATGCATGTGCCACATCATTAGTGAGTTATTCGTCATTGTAACTACAGCGGTACTAAGAGGGTGAGACTACCCTGACAAAATATACTTTATTGACATTCACTGTGATCTGTTTACCCGTCTATTAAGACATAGACTTGTATAATTTAACTGAAAGAGAAATAAATCTGTGTTTAGATGTAATTTAGAAATAAAACACAGACTGACTTTACAAAAGACATTACTCTGGTATCTTTTTTTTTTACATAAGAAAAAAAAAACCCAGTGCAGTACTGTATTTAAACAGTGTTTTTTGCTCATTCTCTAAATGCACTGCACTGTAGCTCAAACCAACCTGGTTAAATAAATGTCCTGTTTTCAAGAACTCCATTTCTGAGGAAAAGACAAATAAACAAGGAGAGCAGACAGTTGAACGTTGTGGATTGGAATTACTTTTCGAATAAAAGCTCACCTCTTTCGTCCTTGAGGCGAAGGAGCCAGTCAACCACTGTGAAGAGGAGCAGCAAACAGCCACAAGACAAGAAGATGCGCAAGCGGAACCGCATCCTTTTATTTTCCGGTGTAGGCTAAAGGTTGCATGAAACAAAATGCTTCCAAGGAACCTCTGGAATCATTTTTTTGAATGACAAACATTGAACAGTCATTTGAAAAATACTCTAGAGCAGTGATTCTGAACGGGTGGTTTGCGCACATAAATGACATAGATGTGCATCTTGATTTTTTTTTTTTCTTCAAGAACAGTTCTGAAGCACATAGAACAAAAATATTAGGTAAGTGTCAGGAAATGGTAATCACTTTTGGTCCAGACATGAGTAACTCCATAACGACATCCACCTCATGCTAACAGTAAAGCACCTCTGGACTTGAGATGATTAACATGGCGGCTTTGGTTTGCCTAAATTCTTTAACTGTTTGCTTGCATACTTCAACAAAAAAAGGTGAAGACCAACACATGTGCATAACCATGTGTTCTGATTTTTTTTAAATGGCAAAACCTTACACAATAGGAATCAAAATAGCTGTGTGTGGTGAAGTCAGGATGTTAAACTACTACTGTACTAAGAAAAGGAATCGGATGACCACATTGCAAATGAAAACTCTTCTTGTTGTCAGTTTGTGGTAAATGACTGCCAAAGCATTTTATACCACAAATGTAAATTCGCCAAACTTGAGTGCAAGCAGCGTGGGTTCACTTCCCACTCAGTGATGGTGTGAATGTGAGTGCGAATGATTGTCCATCGCCATATGTGCTGTTAAACTGACTTGTGACCGGTTCTTTTCTTGATTAGATGGATGTTATCCCTGTGCCTGTGTGGGTTTTCTCTGGGTACTGCGGTTTCCTCCCCCAAAAAACAAGGCTCGCGGGGCATGCTGGAGAGCCTATCCCAGTTGTCTTCGGGCAGTAGGCGGGGAACACCCTGAACCGGTTGCCAGCCAATCGCAGGGCACACAGAGATGAACGACCATTCGCACTGACACTCACACCTAGAGACAATTTAGTGTTCACTCAGCCTGCCACGCATGTTTTTGTAATGTGGGAGGAAACTGGAGTATGCGGAGAAAACCCACGCAGGCACGGGGAGAACATACAAACTCCACACAGGAAGGCCACAGCTGGAATCGAACCCGGTACCTCTGCACTGTGAGGTCGACGTGCTAACCAATGGCACACCAAACCACCCAACTACTTATATGCAAATATTTATTTACTTGCATTCCTAATCTCCCCCCTAAAATGCTCTCCCTCTTCCAAGTTGCATCCTGTATTTCCCAGTTGTTGCTTCGTTTAGGTTAAATCACAAACCAGGTGACATTTCCGTTGCGGCGGACAATTCCAATTCTAGATTGGAAGTGGAACCACATTTTTGTATAAATTGTGCTGTGTTGAAATTGTCAGACAACACCACACACACAGTATGATCAAAACTGTTTACACCTGATTTTTTTTTTTTTATCTACATACAAGTATGCATAGTTTGTAAAATGAACCTGAGCTGGTCATGGCCTCGTAAACAGATTAAACAAAACTATTGCATACTAGTATCTTACCTTCTTTTGTCTTCAGTTTTAGTTATTTCTCCCCGCACACAAAGACAAGCAAAAGCAACACTACAGGTCGACAATGAGAAAGAGCAGGGAAAACCCGTTCAGCAGGATGACTCAAGCAACATGACAGCTCCCCTGAAAATATCAGCAGCACTTTTCATTTGCATAAAACCTGCAGCTCTAGATGCTGTGCAGTAGCAATTGTTAGTCAAAGTTTTCGTTGCAGGCAACAGTGGAATAGAGATGAACACCTTTGCCTTACAAATCTGAGGTTCTGGGTTTCAATCTTGGCTCAGACCTGCTGCTATTGCCTGACACCAGTCCCGGGACGTTCCCACTTCTTGGCTAAATTAGCTGCCACATGCCCCAGATCATTTACGACCCTAATGAGGAGAAGCACTCTACAAATTGGTTGTGTTTGTGGTTTTATTGTTCTTGAAAAGAGCAAAACCCACTTCCATCTGTATTAAGGACGTTTCTATCCTTCATTTCTACACTGCATGTTACGCCTCTTATCATTCAAATGCTAAACCAGGTCCTTGGGACTAGCATTTAAAAAGAATGGTATAAGTAAGCTTTTGCCATTCAGAACGCTAGAACAAAGACTCCACTGTGGAGCGGAGCAATATTGCTCATCTGGAAGCATCGGGATTTCAGTAATTATGAGGCTCTTTGCCTCTTCACTTTATTACCATTCAACCACATTCTCTTCACGTGTACAAAAAAAAAATGTCGAAAAGTTCAATTTGATTGATCAGCTCAAACCTTACGATTCATACAGTGTACAGAAACTAGCTTGTCAGTGCTACTAAACGACGGTCAGTTGCATTTGAGTGACTGTTGTGATCAATAAGTGACATGGTATTTGTTCGAGACAATCCATGTCAGCTGTGTGACACGCAGTCATGTCAGTTCAGTAGAAAGTCAGGTGTTGGGTATCCAAATAAGTGGAAGTCCCCCTGGTAGCGTGCGTACAGGCGCCTGATGTCCCGTTTGCTGATTCCTGAGAAGTGGCGCTCAATCTTGGTTTTGTTGTAGCGTGTGATGCCAGGAGGGATGGCCGGGTAGGACACCAGCCCCTCGATGCCCGCTCTCCGCAGGATGTGGGCGGCGTCCCGCTCCAGCGTCTCATGGTGGCCGATGACATCGTAGTGGATGTCGCACGGTGCGCATAACTCTGCGTACGTCATCCAGTGAATGACGTGTTCGCCGAACTGACGATCCAGGCGGCGGCGGCCTTCGACATCGCCCAAGTAACGGACAAAATCCTCAAAGTGTAAGCCGGACGCTCTCAGGTCACTGTCGCGATGGCTTCGGCGGTATTTGCGGATTATGATGGGGGCGATGTCGTGCCGGTACCAAGGCTCAAAGCGGGGGTTCTTGATAAACTTGTCATTGAAGGCAGAGATCAGACGTTCGAATGGATCTCTCACGATGAAAAACTTAAAATAAGTTTTTAACCTGTTAAGCAGAACACAAGTGACCTCGTAAATATTCGTAAGAATGAAAATCATAATAGCATATGTATTCTAAAATACGTAAGTTAAGCATAACACCCGCAAGGCTATTGGGATGTGGAAGGCATCTCAACTCATTACAATGATCCTCTGTTTTGTTATAAAAGCACAAAACATGTTAGATGTGTTGGTGCATGTCTCAAACAAATGTGGGCGTGGTGATCATAAAATCACCCTCGGGTAGCAGTGGCCGCCATTTGCTTCATTAAAAGAACAGCATCATTAATTGCAGTAAAAACCCTCATCAGGGTTTTATGTTTGCGGAACATTAATTAGCAGCAAAATCCACACGTTTGTATTCATATTGGGGCGGCCATTTTGCCACTTGCTGTCGACTGAAAGTGGCATCAAGGGCTCACGTAGCAACAGTCATGGCTCACCCGTTTGCAAGTTTGGTCATGTGATGTTCGCAAGGTCAGCCCTTAGGCACTGTGATGTCATTTTCTGTCGACAGAGAGTGATTTTTTTTTTTTAAACTTAAAATTTGTGCCTCAGCTCAATCAAGGTTGGTTGCACGAAATAAGATCGGAATTCAGATTTTATATTCAAAACCCTGTAAGACCTGACCCATCAAAGAATAGCTACAAAATTCTGATTTTTGTGAACTGCGATGTTTATTAATATAACAAAATCCTCCCCAAATTTTTTTGCTATATCATGTTGTTTATGAGAGATTTTTTTTTGTATCACATTTGATATAGTAGGCGCTTTTGGCAACTTTTTGGTCACAATAGTGTTAATTTCAGAACAAAAAACTGAGTTCTGTCCATAACATTTTGAAATTATAGAACATATTTTGAAGTTTTTCCTCTTTTTCTTTTTCACTGGTCTGAAAAGACCTTGTGATTTTTTTCCTGCTGGAAGTGTCGACGTCATATAGAAACATCGCTTTCTATATTACATCCAAGTCATATAGAAAGCCACTTAGTCCAGCAGGTCCCCACATCTTGAAACCCCATTTGTGAGGTTTTGTAGGCATGTAGACACGCAGATGAGACTTTCCCTTGAACGGCACCATAACTTCATCAACCGCATGGCACTCCTCAGGAGGTATGCAGAGAAAATGTTCTCGCAGTTTTTGTAACCATGGCCTCAGCTTCCACAGTTTATCTTTCTTTGCATCATCGGAGACGGTGAGGCTGTCCTGAAAATGAATCAGTCAGCAATTTCTGAAATCTATCTCGAGACATCCCTCCCTATTCACACACACCTGATTCCAATGATCAGCTCATCAGCAAGCGCTGTCGGGGCCTGAAATGATCATGAGCAATTGAATCAGGTGTGATGGAGTAGGGAAGGATCTAAAACAGGCAGGATACGGCTCTCAAGGAACTGGAGTTCCCTACCTCTGCTGTAAACAAACAACCGTTCGCGCTCAAAATCACACCGAGGGACAATTTAGACTAGAGTGTTCAATCAGCCTGCCATGCATGTTGAGCCGAAATTGAACCCTGGACCTCTGCACTGCGAGGCCGGAGTGCTAACCAGTTGCCCGGAGTGCTAACCTTCCTTTTGGTAATACAGTTGATTGTATTTCTTTTTTATTCTAACTTTAATGTAATATAGTTAGATTTTTTTGTATTCTGAATTTCTGAATATGCAACATCAGTACATACAGTACTTCCCAAGCCGGCAACCAGAGTTTATCACACATTTATGGACAGATTATTTTTCAGTCCGACGGCAGTGCGGTAATTTTTAATTTACTGACAGCGGAAACTTTTATGCCATTTTACCCTTCCACCATAAATGTTTATTTTTATTGTGTTACTGAGCATAAGGTCCATTCAGCGGCTTGATGAGGAAGTGCTGCCTCCACAAGGGAAAATACACCCAAATCTGTATATTATGGTGGGCGGGTCATCATTGTGCCTCACCTGTGTGTAATTTCCTGCGGCGTCAGTGATGAGAGGCGTGGCAGGCCATTCTTCTCATGGTCGTGGACGAGGTTCTCTGGGATCTCTTCCACGCCCGAAAAAGCTCCTGTGAACAAGAGCACGAAAAGTCAGCAGACGAGTTAACGGATGCGTGAATCAAAGCATCCCCGACGTACCGTTGAGCGCTATTAGGACCTTCTTCCACTGTGTGTTTCCCACTTTGGGGGTCTGGCAGAACAAGATGTTGTGCTTGTCGCAGACAAAGATGCGATCCAGGACAAACTTGCTGATGGGGATGTGAGTCAAATTTCTTAGGCTGCTGTTCTTACATACAGCGAGGAGCAGTTGTAGTCGCGTTTCAACAATGGAGTCCCACTCTGACATGGTAGTGGCAGCTGAGGACTGATCCCTCTGCTAACCCCTCACCCCAACACACACATGCATGCACACACGCACACACAATATGTCAGTTACAGAAAGTAAGTCATTAGACGTGGATTCTCTTTGTGTTGCTAATTACCTGATCTGGTTTCTGTGAATCCGGTTTTCCTCCGGTGAGCGTCTGAAACTTCCCTGTCGTGTTTCCCGACACAGTCGGTATCTGACCACCATCTCGCTCTTCATATTCTGTAAAATATCAATGAAGGTGCTCTTCGTGAAAAATCAATCAATCACAACACGTTACCCATTACTGGGAGGAGAACCCACCATCGACAGCTCTGTGGCTAATAAACTTGGTGACAAATACGAGGATAAGCAGCACCCAGCCGCAAGCCCCGAGGAACAACCAGTGGTGCCGCATCGCTGCATCAGTCGGCGGCTAAGGAAGCCTCTGGGCGGCGGCGCTTCACTCCTCAAAGCCGTTGACAGCTAGAGCTGTCCTGCCTTGTGCACGAACTAATGATGCCTGCTCGGATTAAAGTCGAAAAGTCACAAACATATCCGTTCGTTTGCGTCAATGCCCTGAGATAGACAACTAATTCACTCATTCACTAGCCTAGCCGTTAGCTCCAAAAAGTTAGCAGTTGTTTTTGAGCCAGTGGCGCTACAGCACTGCAGCCAGAAAATACCTAGTCATGTGGATGCTCCAACGCCGATTTTTGTTGCTCAAAGGCGTGGGGACAGCAACCGGGCGCTTGTCCTTATCAGACTGATTTCATTGAAGATAGCCGACCGGCTGCTGAAGAGCACGCACAGAACGATGGCCCCATGCACCACATGAGGCAAATGTCTGCCGATCCAGTGCTCATTCCGAGTATTGAATAAAACAGATAACCCGTTCACCACCCCACCATATCATGCTCAGTGTATAGCGGCGCAGTTAGTTGAAAACAACGCTTGGTTTCGTCCTTCGCGGTCTGGCTCTGTCACGTGCACCAACTCTCCCGGCTTGTCGTCTTTTCCCGAGTGATCTTACGAGACAAGCCAAAGCTTGGGAGAGAGTCTCCAGCAAGAGTGGGCGTGCCAAATAAAACAGACTCCGCGCGCGCTGTAGTCTCTCTGAAAATCACGTGATCAATGACAAAGGCCTCAGTTTGAGGATGGCGTCATCGGTTTATTCAACGTGGTTACTTAATGGCACGCGAGACCTCAGCTGATATTGTATTCACAGTATACTCCGAGTGGGGTATTACTCGTGTAGGATTAGCACTTGTGTTTTTCTTTTCTATTGCGGCCGGTGTGTTGTCAGTGTTTCTTTATGTTTGCTTGTTCCAATTCGGCAATCACACAATCACGCACGTTCAGCTGGCTCAGTTAAAGAAGTCCACAAATTTGAAATGAGCTGGATCACAACATAAAGCTATCTGCCTCATTTTGTCTATAGCAGGGGTATCCAAGTCTGGTCCTCAAGAGCCCCGAGCCAGTATGTTTTAGATTCCTCCCTCCTCCAACACACCTTATTCAAATGATCAAATGATATGCACACGCTTAAAATGGACTAATACTGCATTTCATTTGTCTCGGAACTCTGAGCTGGGAATGGCGTCATTGGTGAGTTACAAAGTTACCGATTACAAGATGGTGACCTCCATGCCCTGTCCGAATATAAACAACTTTTGGACAAACATGAGGCACTGCAACATTTGAACACGATGGAGGACGCAGAAGCTGGCCTCTTCGTTTGTTTCAGCGTATTACATTGTTTACAAAAAGGTAAAAACAATGACTTTGTCATAAGAGAAAATACAGCTTGGTGTCTGTCTGTCTCCCTACAATTTTTTTCTTGGGTTAGGTTGAAAATTATTGTTTCATATCGATTACTGGAATACGTTTTGTGTCTTGTCTTAAATAATCACTGTGCTGCAGCCAACACAGTGAGTTTGATCGACTGGAAGACTGTAACAGAGTGCCAGGTAATGTGGCCGCCATTTGCATGCCATTTCCATGTCACCAAACCCTTTGGATGTCTATGACATTTCAGAGTACCGGTAGTTATGTATGATTTGGCAAGTTTGCATACACAGACCGGTAGGAGCTTCTGCATTTGCATCTCTGGTGAGTACAATGTTATTTATTTATTTAAAGTTTTTATATTGATAACAATTGATTGTGAAGTACAGGACTATATTGTAGTGTAGCGCTTTCAAGTTCTTGAGTTTCTGTATTGAAAGATTAAGGTAACTGTTTTTTTTTTTTCCTTTTGGTAATACAGTATCCTCAAATATGTGACATGCACTTATTTAATGCGAGACATCCGTCTCTTTCGTATTGATGTGTGCGGGTGAGTGCTTTTGGAAGGGAGAATATACAAACCATCGTGGTGTTTTAGGAACAGTTTGGTAACACGCTCTGCAGTGTGAACTTAACCAATTTTATATAGCGTTTTTTTTTTTTCTTTTCTGCACATATTGTGACATTATGGTGTTATCGAGAGGTGGATTAGATCACAAAAACCCACTGAAGGCCCAGGTCCAAAACTCATGGACGAGACGCATGGGAAAGCGACAAGAGCGTAGCTAGTTATTTGCGGCGCAGGACAATTACAGCCAACCCACGATGTATAGTCCCCCTCCCCCAAGCCAATCTCCACATTATATGCCTGAAGACCAAGACTGATGCTGAGGTGATGGAATGAGAAAAAAACATGCAGAAACTGGTGACGTCCCTGACAAGCCTAGGTCAGGCAGACCCAAAAGGACAATTCAAGAAGACTGTTGCTTCGACGGTGCAGTGCTGGTCGTTTTTCAACATCAGCTGAGCAAAATACAAACTGGTCACCGGGAACTTCTGTATCAACAAGAGGTTTGTTGAATCCTCTCCTGCAGGGGGTTCCATGGCCACAACCCACCATTAAGCAAAAGAGAACAAAAAAAAAAAAAAAACAACTGGTATTTACCAAAGTCCACAGTCTGCAGACAGGATGAACATTGGAAAAGTGGCAAAAATAGATTTTTCTGATGAATCATCCAGTGAACTGCATCCCATCGCCGCAAACACTGCAGAAGGCCTGTTGGAATCTGCATGAACTCAAGATTCACACCGACAACAATCAAGTTTGGTGGTGGAAAAAAAAAATCATGGTTTGGGGTTTCGTCCAGTTTGGTGTGTGTGTGAGAGATCTGCAAAGTCAACAACCTGGAATATCAAGAAATTCTTTCTGCCCATTCCAAACCACAGGCGAGGGCAATTTCTTCTGCAAGATAATGCTCATTCTCATACTTCAGCCTCCATATGAAAATGACTGAAAACCAAAAAGGTCAAGGTGCTGCAGGACTGGCCATGGACATTAGCGAGCATGTCTCCGGTAAGATGAAGCATGAGGCTTGGAAGTTGGAACCAAAGAATTTTGATGAACTCTGGGAGTTCTCCAAGACTGCTTTCTTTGCCATTCAATAATTTATTTGATTCATTGCCAATGCGTATGGACACAGTGCTCCAAGCTCAGGGGAATCACACAGTCATACACCCTATTCTTTTGTTTCCAAAAGCACCACTGCATTATTTTTTAATTCTTTTGGAGCATTCTAATTTATTAAAAATAAAGTATAATTTCTGAGGCAGATTGTTTTTGTTGGTGACAAGACTTTCATACAAGTAAAATCTGAACTTTCTGATAAAATTTAATGAATGATCCAAAACTTGATTTTGGTATAATAAGCATGATCTAGAAGTCTTTGCTTTCATATAAGCCATTTCTCATTCCAACTGATTGACACTTTTATCTTTATTGTGCCCAGTGCTCTGTGCCCATGGAACAGGTCTAAAACAGGGGTGTCAAACATATGGCCCGCGGGCCGGATCCGGCCCGCAA